TGTCCCTGGGAGGAATTGACCTCCAGGCCAATTGGCTGTGAGGACCAGCTTTGAGTACAGTGGGAGAGCTGATGCGCAGGAGACACCCTTATGGAGCAGGACTTGCTTCAGTGGGGCCTTGGTGCTCACTGAGTCTGCCCCTTGAGTGTGTCGCTTATGGATGTGTAGAGTTATAATCTGGCGTGGTCTGACACTGACACTGGGGAGGTCCCAGCATAGGAAAAATGATCCCTGAGAGAACCTCTGTCTGGGAGAAAGCCGCCCCGGAGTTCATGCCCTGATGCCAGACAATCCAGTTCCTCCTCGTGTCTGTGGTCCCCAGAGACTCGCGCTAGTGCTGGAGCTCAGAGGAAGCAGGACCTTATAAGTTCAGTTCGTGGTGCTGGCCTTTTAAGAGGTACAGCTGGGTCTCCAGCAGCCTCTGTCACTGAGCCCCAATCCGCACTGGTTTCTCTAGCCCATGGTTCTTACTGCCTGTAGGGATTTCTCTTCCCAGCTCTGGGACCCTGGGCTGGAGGTCTGGTGTGGGGCTGGGACCCTTTCCTCCTCTGGGCGCCTCTGCAGAGACAATCTCCCTCCCAATTAAAAAAGTGGCACAGGTGGGTGCCGGACCAGCCGGTTCTGTGCCTCCTACCAGTCTCAGTGTGCTGTTTTCTTCCCTTCTCTAGTTGTAGGACTTCCACTCAGCCAGCTTTCCAGTGGTTCTGGATGATGGTTGTTCTGTATTTTAGTTGTAATTTTGATGTGGTTGTGGGAGGCGGCGAGTATAGGTGTTTACCTATGCCGCCATCTTCCTGTGTTTGTTTTGTTCTATTACAGATCTTTCCATTGAATTAGTCTTTTCAAAGTACCAACTGATGTTCTTTTTACATTTTCCTGTGATGTTTTTGCTTTCAAATGAATTCCTGCTTTTATCATTAATTCTTTCCTCTTTTTTTCTTGTTTTATAAACATTTCATTTGAATGTAAACTCATTTGTTCTCATTCTCTCTGGTGTTAAAAACATTTAAGGCTATGAATTTGGCTCTGGCTGCAGCACTGTCCATAGTGCAAAGCCATTACTGTACAGTGTGCTCGTCTTCACTACGTTTAAAAGGGCCCGTGAATGAAGTTTTGGTTTCTGCTTTGAAGAACGTTGTATAATTTACAAGTGCTTATATTGTATTTGATTTTCCTTTTATTAATTTTTAATTTTATTGCACTACAGGAGAGTATATAGGGTTTGAGGCAATTTCTATTTGTTAAAATTTGGTTGAGATTTTCTCTTTGTGGCAAAAAATATATAATTGATTGTTGCAAATTTCCTATGAATTAAAAAATATGTATTTTCAGTAAGATATAAAGGAACATAGTAGTAAAAACCTTGGGAAGAGCTAATTTCTTAAATGTGATCTTTTTTATGTATTGGCTTTGAATTTGGGTTTTCTTTTTTTTTAAATATATTTTATTGATTTTTTACGGAGAGGAAGGGAGAGGGATAGAGAGTTAGAAACATTGATGAGAGAGAAACATTGATCAGCTGCCTCCTGCACACTCCCCACTGGGAATGTGCCCGCAACCAAGGTACCTGCCCCTGACTGGAACCAAACCCGGGACCCTTGAGTCCGCAGGCAGACGCTCTATCCGCTGAGCCAAAACGGTTAGGGCTGAATTTGGGTTTTCTTAATGCATACGGATGTTGAAACTTTTAAAGAATAATTTATTTAAGAACTTACTTTTCTGCTCCTTTGCACTGGGAATCCTGAGCTCACCCTTTGCGCGGTGTGTCCACAAGCACAGCAGTGTGTCTGGGCGGCCGGGCTCCCCCGGCGGCCCCATCAGTGGCTGCCCCGTCTGCAGACGAAAAGCTCGTCCCTGTCCCAGTCCTGTCACTTTAAACCCAGAGGCTTGGTCTTGAAGTGCTAGTCCTCACCCGAAAATGGGGTGGCGCCCCCCCTCGTTGTCCCCTGCTCAGCAGCCCTGCCTCTCGGAACCTCCTCTCTGGGGCTGCTGTCCCCCAGGTTCCCACCTCGGGGCCTTGTCGAGGGGACCACACAGGCAAACCTCTGTAGCCTTGGTCTTGGTTGAACAGGTGCTCCCCCAAATATAGTGTCTTAAAGCAGCAGGAGCAAACTATGTCTTTGTAGTCTCCCAAGTGACTTAAAACCTGCGGTGTGTGTGTGCTGTGTGTTACACGGAAAGCTTTAGGGGGACTGGCTGGGTTTGGGGGTGAAACCCCCCACCAAGTTAGAATCCTGCCAACTGGGCAGGCCAAGGCATTCCCGCTTCACCAGGACATTCCCAGGAGGGCATCAGGTATCCAGGCTCCTCCCTGAGTTGTCAGCGCGTGGTCTGCCTTTTCCCTTTCTTGTGAATGACCTGCTCTAGGAATTTGACTACATTTTGTGTACGTGCAGTCGGACCAGCTTTGCCTCTATAAATTTGGTGCCTTGAGTTTCTGAGTGAAGTTGCATTCTGTGAACACTCACGGCTCAGTCTCAGACATGAACAGCTCCCAGTGGTCGGAGTGCAGAGCACAGGCCTGGGAGGCCTGCTCTCACCTCCACCTCCGGCCCCGGGTGGCTTTTTCCTACTCAGGTGGCTTGTTCTGGGTCTCGTGGTCACGGAATTATTTAGATTGTAAAGGGGGCATTTTCCCAGGCAGTGGTTCGCTTTGCAATGTTTCCTCTCCCATCCAGAGTTGCAGAGCGTAGACGATCCTTCCCAGGGCCCTTCACAAACTTCTCCCCCTTTTTGAAGGCCGGCTGGGATCTGAAGGGCCGTGGCTCATGGGGGCTGTGGCCATCGACTCCAGTTCTCCCTGGAGGGGCGGCCGGATGGCCACAGGTTACAGGTGAACTGATGTGGACGGGGCAGGCCTCGACTTTCCTGCGCTCGGCTGTGAAGCAGGAATACACCCCCAGGAGTTGCTGGGGGGTCCCTCACTACCCAGTGTTCTCGTGCTCTGAGTGAGTTCAGACCATTCCCTGACACTTACACTCAGAGCACGGAATTGGGACCAGAACATGGTCTGGGTCTGGGTCTGGGTCTGCCATCACCACGTCATCCCTAAACTGGATCCAGCTGCACACATTCCCTCCGTGTCCGGACTTCACCTGTTTGATCCAGTGGATCCACACTGAGGGGACCCGACTGTGAACAGGGGGAGCAGAGCCTGGGTGACAGACGCCGTGAGGGGGAAACAGGACAGCGACAGGTCAGGGTGAGGCCCGGAGGAGGCCGCTGAGGGGACGACTCCGGCGCAGGTGGAACTGGGCCGCGTCAGATGGCCACGCCCCGCGATGGGCAGGAAGGGGGGACATGGCCTTTCTGTCATCAGCTGCCAGCCCCTCACCCGTCACATGACCATACCTAGAGGCAAAGGAAGTTAAGTCCCTTACCAGGCCGGCGGGGGTCCTTGGCAATACAACCGTTTCCGAACCAGAAAGGGGAGCAGCAGGGATGCGGGAGGGCCTGTGACCTGCTACAGCCCAACGACCGTTGGCCGTGGGGCAGCTCAGCCTGAAGTTTTCAAAGGGCCAGTGACACTCGGGTTCAGGACGTGAGACTGCCCTGGGGAGCCAGTCCGGTTCCGTCCCCCAGCTTTCGGACAGCGGGCCTCGGACAGGGACTCGACAAATCCAGGCGCGACGCTTCGGCTTTTACATTTTATTCTGCTTTCCTCTCTGCCTGCTCTGGAGCTCAGCGTGGCTGGGAACTGTGCCCAATCCTGCTGGAGATCTGACGGCCAGAAGGTGCTCCGCCCACACGGACCTTTCCAGAACAGTGCACTCACGGCTCCGACTCCCTGCCTCCTCCTCTCCTCGTGCCCGAACGGGAGAATCTGACACCCCTGAGCCTGAGAGTGATGCCCAGCGCCAGCCTGGGCGGCAGCAGATGGTTGCTGTCCAGGACACCCAAACATCCGCGTCTCCCTAGCAACCATGGTGCAGGTGTCTGGCCAAGAAGGGAATGTCTAGCCGGAGGCCCTTGCCTGGGACGCCTGGGCAGAAGGAAATGGGCTGTGGATCCTCTTCAGGTAAGAATTACTCCCTAAGGAAGCACTTGTAATATTTGTATCCATAAACTGGTTTAGTAAAGCAATTTATAGCAATACACATCCCAAACCATTTTTCAAAATTCTCATTTAGCTTTTTATTCATTAAAAATGATTTCTACCTTTGAAATTTACCAAAAAGGATAGCCTCTGTTTTCTGCCACTGTGGACACATCATCGAAGACAGGTCATTGTTGGTGTCACGTGAGCATAGCAGGAGGCTAAGCAGAAGTGTCCTCTGCGGGAACCGACGGCCCCAACGAAGCTGAGCCTGAGCCGGCTGTTGGCCCTTAGCCCCTCTCGTCACCAGGGGCCGCGGGGACCATGGCCGCCAGCCTGGGCCGCCCGCCCGGCCGGAGCCCGTCCAGGAGGGAGGCTGGGAAGGCCAGGCGGCCTGCAGAGCGCAGGGTTTGCTTCTGAGGACTGTTCACTGTGCTGGGGGAAGGATGCAGGGCAGGGCGGGGGGTGGGCAATGAGTGTAACGGGCTCACCACACCCTGAACCAGAGGGGTCTGGCTGACACAAGTCTCTGGGTCGCAGAGGCCGGGTGCCTCGGTCCAGGGCACCAGCCAGTGCACCCAACACCAGGCATGGACATATGTGCCCCTCACATAGGCTGGCATGGAAGTGCATTCTGGGAATATGGTGGCACCAGATGTCATACCAGTTCCTGAGACTCACTACTTCAGCCATTGTCACCAACTCCCTCACCCCCATGACAGCAAGAACACTTTAAAGCTCTCATGAAAAATGTGGGAGAACCACAGGGCAGCGCGGAATACATGCCCACACCTGCAGTGGCGGCCACTCGGCACCCCTCCGGGAGCGCATCTGCGGGCGCCACCAGCCAGGAGCTCCCCGTCCCTGTCCCCGTCGGCAGCGGCTCTGGGCTCGCAGTCCCGGCCACGGCACAACCCAGTCAGACAGGCCTGGCCCTGAGGTCCCCAGGACCTGACTCCAGCGAAGCTCACACCGTGGTCAGACATGTCCTCAGTCCCTAACGAGCAGCCGGAAGGCGGGAGTCACAGGAAATGATCTGGCCAAGAACACGGGGAAGTCCCGATGACTTTCAAAGGAAAGGACTGACCAGGCGCCGCTGGGAGCAGGAGCGTGGAGGACACGAGGAAGGAGGTGACCGGATCCAAGGGGTCAGGTCCACATCTGCCCAGAATCCGAGGATGGGCCTGCGGTGGCTCCGGCTCCGGCTCCGGCAGGGGCGCCCCCGTGCACCTCCGTGCTCCCTCCGGCTACATCCTCCCTCCGGCTACATCCGGCAGAGCTTCAGTGGGAAGTTCTCGGTGATGAGGTGGTCGCCCTGAAGCAGCACCACGACGTTAACCTCAAATTCTGAGAAGACACAGGACGGGCCCGAGAGGCCCGGGATCAGTGGGGCCGACAGCCTCCCTCTTTCAGCCAACAGCACTCACTCTGGTGATAAAAACGCCCGTAAGTTACATGCTTTGGAACTGGTTTAAGCCAAATCAATGACTAGTTTAAAACCAAAGATCCTCTCTGGACTAAACGTAACGCACCTCACAAGACTCAGGGGGATGTGACGTTAATAGGACGCAACGGCCTTCGGGACGGGTTCCCGTTTGCTCAGAGGATCGGCCCAGCAGCCGAAGTTCCCAGGCCTCACACCTCCGCACTGGGGGCCTCGGCCGTGGACAGCAGCTTGTCCACAAACACCGGTTTCAAGTGACTAATGGCCACGGAACTGTCACGGATTGGTCCCCGCCCTGACCTCATGCACAGCGCCGGCTTGTCCACTGCTGTGCTAGTTCCCATCAGCTTATCATCCCACGTCCTAGCCTCACCGACCCCTGCCCCGGCCCCACCGACCCCCGCCTCGGCCCAACCATCCCCCCTCCTTGCCCACACCGTGCCCCGCCCCGGCCCACACCGTCCCCTGCCCGGCCCACACCAACGTGGCTGCTGGCGTTCCCCTGGGTGACAAGGCAGTGCCCTCAAGAGCTGGGGCTGCTGGCGGTGGACCCCGCCCCAGCATGGCAGCTCTGTGAGCTCCGTGGAGTGACGAAGGACCAGCGCTCTGAGCTGTGCCTGACCCGAGTGGACCGCGTGTCTGTCCCGGGCACGGGCAGCCCCTTCTGTGGGCCACGCCCGCCTCAGGACCGAGGGCTGGGGGCTGGCACTCACCCACTTTGAAGTTGGTGGTCTCCAGCGTGGGGCAGGTGAACAGCCGGGGGAAGACCATGTATATGGGCACCGAGAGGCCCCGGCACACATCCCCGTCGGCGATCTGGATGTTCTGAATCTCCGTGGCGTCGCGGGCGTAGCCCTCTGCACAGCCTGGGGGAGGGCGAGCACCAGGTGGTCAGAAAGCAGGACCGTCCAACGAGCCTCCCACAGCCATCAGGATGCCCTGTGACCCTGCGAACCTGCGTGGACGCACTCCCCACTCCCCACTCCCCGGGCTCCCGAGAGTCCCTCCCTCACGGCCTGTCCTCCGTCCCTCACTGCCCGCCCCTCCTCAGGCTCCTCACTGCCCCCCGCCCCAGGCTCCCGGCAGGAGGCGGCGCAGGGCCCTCACCACAGGTCTCCACACGGACCAGCTGCAGCTCGATGCTCCGGACGGCGGCCTCCGAGCTCTCCACCACCAGCTTGCCCGTGAGCGGCTGCGTGATGACGCAGTTGGTCGAGTTCAGATGTCCTCGGACCAGGAACTTGGGGAGCAAGGCTCTCTAACACAGGACGAAGACAAGGGCGTCAGGACTGGAAATGACTCCAGTCATTTAGGATAAACAACAACGGGAAACAAAGATGGATAATTTTGTTAAAACCCACGGGACCCTGTTTTACAAAATGGGAAAAGGTAGACGAGTACTTGCATCTTCTGTCAACTTAACTGAGCGCCTGAGTTCCTGCAGATGCAGCCCCGCACGGCCCGCCCAGGCCCTCCGCCACCCTGACTGCGAGGTCAGACAGGAAAGCTCCTCACGGAGGAAATGACGAACAAAAGCGTCTGAGAAGTATTTAACTCAACTAGTCACACCCACACGCCAAAAAGTTTAAAAAAATAATTTAAGCCTGGCTGGTCTAGTGTCAACCCAGGAGGTCACAGGTTCGATTCCAGGTCAGGGCACATGCCTAGGTTTTGGGCTTGCTCCCCAGTAGGGGGCGTGCAGCTGATTCATGTTTCTCTCTCATCAATGTTTCTTTCTCTAAAAAAAAAAACACCAAAAAAACAATAAAAATATATTTTTTAAAAAGAACTTAAAATGTTCTGTGTAATACAATTTTGAAAAGTTGACACAATTATTTTATTTCAAGAAACGCAGAGAGAACAGTGCTCCTCCGTGCCGGACTGGGAGCCCGTGGGCCTGTCTCTGGGGGCAGAGGAGACTGGGCCCAGGGGAGTGATGATGTGGAAACAGGTGAGGAGTCCCACACTGTTGTCGCGCCTTCACCTCGGGCTGGTCCAGTCGCTGGAGATAATTCAGAGTTAGACCACCGTCCAGCAGAAACGTCACACGAGCCACACGTGACCACATACGTAACTTAAATGTTTCCAGTAGCCACATTTTAAAAAGTAAAGGAAACAGGTAAAATTAGCCAATACATCCAAAACAGTATCACATCTACATACAATCAATATTTGAAAAGTACGACGTTATGTTCTCTTTCTCAGGCTGAGTCTCGGGCACCCAAACCTTCCGCCCGCAGCACCTCAGCTCAGACCAGCGGTCACCTGTGGCCAGGGCCGTCCTACTGGACAGCACAGGCCTGGGACTGAAGGGCAGGGAGCTGGAAAGAAGTCTTCATTCAGGGCCAAGTTCTAAAAATCACTAAAGTAAAAGCAGCTACTTGTTTAGAAAAGTAAACACCAGTAGCACCACATTAAAACTCTTTTAAGCAAATGAACAATGAAAAGCTCTCAAGATCCAGCTGAAGAGCCTCACCAGCGACCCGCTCCTGGCCCAGCATGATGAACACACAAGTCCAAACAGCCCCCCCCTCCCCCGCCCCCGGCAGAGCCACGGCGCCACGGAGGCCACCACCGAGGCCGCCACCAAGGCCACCCCAGGGGGCATTTCTGAGACTGGTTGGCGATGACGCTCACCAGAGTTCAGGGACTGCAGCCTACAGCTGGCAGAGCGCTGAGAGTGAGCGTGCCCAGGGGGCACGGGCGTCAGTCAGACCAGAGGTGGGGGCACCCGGGGGCAGGGCAGCCAGGGGAGGCTCCCAGGTAACACACCAGAGGGTGGGCAACTGGCCTCATGCAGCCTCTGACGCTAGCACTTGCCCAGGTGGCCTGCAGCTTCCCTAACGAGGGACTTTCCACCCAGGTGACACCCAGAGCAGGCTGGGCAAGGAGAGAAGTGTCCCAAGGCACTTCGGCCACAGAGCAGGAGCCCGGTGACCCAGAGACAAGCTGCCCGCACACCCTACCCTGAGAGACGATACAGGGCCAGGCCTCCACCCCCTGTAACTCCAAGCTCGGCTCCTGGGCCAGAGCGTGTTTATAACCAGAACAGATTCTCTGGGGCAAGGACAGGGCCTAACCAGACCATACGTCTCAGATCCTCATCTGCAATATAAACTAGTAACCAAGAATCAATACACACCTGAGGAAAATAAGAGCAAGCAAAGGAGGGACGCACTCTACAGAGAGAACTACCCCTGGGAAACAGCACCCACAGGAGGCGGGATGACGGCGCTGCATCCGCCATGAAGAAAGGGCAGCGTGAAGGAGGAGCCCTGAGCAGGAAGGAGTCGTGGTGGTGAGGAAGCATCCACCTGGAGCACTAAATACCACTGAGGAGTGATCAGCGAGCGGGGCCTGAGCCCAGGGCTCCTCTGGGATGCGTCCAGGAAATGATACCCAAGGCAGTCCCAGGACTGAAGGCAGGCTCGGCCTCCCAGTGCAGGAGACCACTGAATGCCAGACACACCGGCTAAAGCCAGATCCACGCCTGGGCGAGTCCCCTGACATTTCCCAGCACAGGGCGGGGAGAGGCTGGGAGTTTGTACGGGAGGAGGGATGAGGGGGAGGGAGAGGAAACAGCACTCACACAATGTGAGGACCGGATTGTTATCAGTATCACTGGGCACTAGAAACCCAGGGAATGAACTATTTAAGGGCAAATGACATTAGAGCTGGACTTTTGGACCTAGACTAGGATTCAAGTGTGGGAGCAGGTCAGGGGTTTCCCGGCCACCCGAGGGCTTGCGCTCACTCCCCACCCTTTCTGAAAGCAGGACTCCAGGATGTATTCCAGCTAAACGAGAAAGAAGTTGAGGAGAGAAGAAAACATAAGGGAGTAGCACCAATGGCGAGCAATGACCATGGTAAAACTTAGTTAAGGCCACGGAATGTGACTGTGAACTTCAGGCAACGACGAAGAACCAGTCTGTCAGCCAATAAAGACTAACGGGGGGAAAATGAAACTGTTGACAACCGAACGTCGATTTCAAACACAACAAGGCGGAGTGAGGAGAGAAAATGCAAAAACGTTACAAGCCTTCTGTCAGACGGAGCCGATTCTCAGTGTTATTTAAACTTGTAACGTCCATGTGTATCTGAACATTTAAGGGTAACGACCAGGAGAGGAGAAACAGGATGTTAGAGAAAAAAGGAACAAACAACACTAAGAACAGAAAGAAACAAAGACAACCTTAATAAATCAGGAAAAGGAACAATACAGTCCACCAGCGCACAGGACAAGGTGGGAGGAACACGGTTTTCCAATCAGGAAGAATGGTTCCGCCCTGTTACAGTCGGGCTCGGTGCGCTGAGGAGGGGCCGCAATGGGCCGCTTTCCTCTCTGCTCACCACCAATTCCTCACTCCAGCTGTGACCACGTTTTCTACCATCTAGGCCAGTGGTTCTCAACCTGTGGGTCGCGACCCCTTTGGGGGTCAAACGACCCTTTCACAGGGGTCGCCTAAGAACACACGAAAACACATATATAGTTACATATTGTTTTTGTGGTTAATCACTATGCTTTTATTATGTTCAATTTATAACAATGAAATTGGAGGTCACCACAGCATGAGGAACTGTATTAAAGGGTCGTGGCATTAGGAAGGTTGAGAACCACTGATTTAGATTCTTTACAAGTAAGAAATCTAGTCTTAGTCTAACCAAGTTAAGAAAAAGTGGGGCTGACTGGGACAGCCCTCGGAGCTCTCGGCAGGGTGAGGTGGGAGGTGGGGCCGGGGCCCATCCCTACCCACAGTCCCCGCAAGGCTGCTTCCTGCAGAAGGTCGGTCTGACGGGCCCCCTGGAGTCGTGTGCTCCAAAGCAGGGTGGTCAGGGGACGTTCTGAAGGCCGCCTACCGCACGCCCTGCTCCGCTGTGGCCCTGAGGGATGAGGCCAGCCTCACTCGGAGCCCCAGGCCTGAGCTTGCCTTCAACCTGACTGATCAACAGGGCCCAGAGGGCAGGCTGCGGGTGGGTGCGAGGGAGAACAGCTGTGTCCGTGGTGGCGGAGACAGGTGGCCACACGCAGGTGGTGGGGACTGGGCTCAGGGAAGAGTCTAACCACAGTGCAAAACTAGGAGAAGATGTAAGAAATAATAAACATATATCCTAGGAAACTTTCCACAAGTATGAGTCTCCTAAGAAGTTTCTGAGTTTAAAAAGAAATCAGAGTAGAATTCCAGACTGTTTGGGGTACAGACGATAATCAGGAATCTCCTCTCGGTGGCCAAATGAAGAACCATCGCCAACCGCCTGCCAGCGGGATCCAGGGCTGAGAAAACACCGCCGGCCCGGGGTGAGGAACACGCTACCTCTTTGACATTCTGCAAGGTTTCGGGCGTGATGGCGAAGTCCACGGGACTCGGAGTCAGTTTCCCCTTCTGAGGCTGCAACGGGAGGGAAACCACAGTCAGGGCTTGAGGGCCAGGAGTTCTGTGGGTCAGACTTCTTCCCTCTTTAGAGACAGGAAGGACGGCACAGTGAACCAGGAAGAGCTCGGCACCAAGAGGCAGGGTATGAGGCTACCGTGGATGTGGACAGAGCGGGCAGCCGCCGCGTGAGACCCAGGGACCCAGGGCTGTGAGCACGACTGTGTCGCCAGGTGTCACACCGAGGCCAGCGCTGCCCGCCACTGCGAGGTTTCATGCCCGAGGCCCCAGCTGCGCCGCAGACTCCCAGGACCTTCCCCGGCGTCTCCTGGTGGGACGGAGGCTCTAGTTCCCGAAGGTGACACGTGAAAGGCATTTGTTAAGAACCTGATGTCACTGCTGAGGGTCAGGAGGTGGTAGGAGGGGCGACCCACCCCGCCCCGCGTGCCCCTGTGTGTTCTTGCTGGGTCTGCCACGCTCCACCAGGCTGGGCCATCTGAGCTGTCTGCCATGCGGCCTGAGGGCTGAGGTGAGTGCCCCCAGGACAGAGGTGGGTCCCCTGCTGGGACCCCTCAACGGGGCACAAACCCCCCCAGGTGCAGCGCCATGCGAGCCCATGCACCACCCAGGGTACGCCGGGCGCAGGGGGCGACACCACGCGGGAGCTCAGGCTGGGCGCAGGGGGCGACACCACGCGGGTGCCGTGCTGGCCCGGTCGCTGGCAGCGACAGTGACAGGCTGCCCCCTCGCTGGGAGCAGTGAGCCCGCAGGCCCGCGGCCGCTCACCGCCGAGTGCACGATGAACTCGCAGGTCTTGGTCAGGTCTTTGGCCAGCAGCGACCGCTTCATGTCACAGCGCAGGGTGTACTGGACGGAAACGGGGAAGAAACGGCAGTCAGTGTCATTTGTTTCCATCTTAGAATATGCAAGGAGACAGGCAGTGTTTCAGGGAAACGCAGTCTAATAAATGTGTATCTGAAATCAATATACACAGAAGGGTGAGTTATGCTCAAAATGAAGGCATTTCTATATTTAAAAACACACGTTAAGGGTATTCCTCAGCCGACCCCCACGGCCATCCTGTGGTCGGGCCCACGGAAGGGCGCAGGGTCCCGCCCCCAGCACAGAGCAGGCTGAGCGGAGGGTGAGGAGCAGCACTCAGAGCAGCAGCCAGTGGGATCTGCAAGGGCAGACAGTGGGCGCAGCCGCCTGCTGGCAGCCAGCCTGCCACCCGAGGGGAGACCTGGCCTCGACGCTCTGGGAGTCGCTAGTTCTTTGTCCGTATCCCTATCTGGCTCAGTCAGCTGGGTTGGATTTCTATAACTTGCAAATAAACGGGTGTGAATAACAGGCACTAACTTTTGGTCACAATGTTTCTTAAGTGTGAAAGCATAATTAATACACGAGGCGGCTGGTGGTAAGTCAGGGAGGCTTGGACAAGGGGGAGGCGGAGGAAAATGCTGATGTTATGTTCCAGGGACTGTGTTTCGCTCAGATGTACTATCTCAGTTCTAACAACAGAAATGTAAGAATTCTCAGGGCAAGGGCAGTCACACTAACTCACTCAGTCATTCAGGGACCATACACTGCCACACCCTCATGCCGGGCGGTAACTGTAACTGAGCACCTCACGCCAAGACCTCATGCGCCCCTCGGAGAGGCCGCGAAGGCCCCGGGGGTCACAGAGGTGGGCTCTGGAGTCACACCTGCCGGGGCGGGAGCCCACGCTCCCAGTCTACGCAGCTCTGTAATTCGAGCTCAGATCTGTCTGCAAAGCCTCTTTCCACCTCATCGTGATCTTTCCCTGTCACTTCAGCGTGACCCGGGGTAGGAGCGGCAGGAGGCAGAGTGGGCAGACTTGAGCAGGGCACAAAAGCAGGTGCAGATCCCACCTTTTCCGACCACCAGTAAACACCACCAACAGGCAGGAAGCAAGAAGGTGCTCGCCGTAGACTGAGAGCGGACTCCTAGGAGGGGCACTTTTCACTGTAAGAAGGGTGACTAGCAGGGAATGGGCTCTACCAAGACCAAATTATCAGCTAAAACTTTATTATTGAATCAGAAAATTCCTAACTTCAGCCCTTTTGCACATAAGACAACATGTGTCTCGTCTCATTAAGCAAGGGGGCCGCAGCAGGACTGACATCACAAAAGTACCCTTCTTGCCACTGACTGAAGGGAAGACTCTCTCTCTCTCTCTCTCTCTCTCTCTCTCTCTCTCTCTCTCTCTCGTCATGCCTCCAAACGCAGAGACAATAGCAACTGTGAAAGACATCCGGAACCACAGCAGTGGACAGGAAGTCATAAATTCACTTCCCCTCGTTTACAAGGTTTGTTCAATAGAGGGTACAGCCGAAGCTGCAGCAGGAGCCTTTGGGGTTAAACAGAGAGATGTTTATGCGAATAAACACAGACAAGCTGGTCGGTGCCCGAGAGGAGGCCTGTCACCCAGCAATGAAAGCGCCCTTCCCAGCCCGAGGCTGCACAGAGCGCGGCACACGGGGGGTTTTAAGAAGCTGCAGCGTGGGTCCTCGGGCTCCTGTCGAAAACAATGGTCACAGGAAATGTGCCTCGGGGGAGCGAGACGTGGACACGGAGCGCATGGCGGTCACGGCAGGAAGCGCGGGTTACGTTCCAGGTCCACCCACACATTTCCAGTGGAAGGACCACCAGGACCACCAGGACCACTGCCTGCTGGGAACTCACCTGAATGTTGACAAACACGCCGTGGTAGGTCTCGTACAGAACTTTGTTGCCCTTCACATGCAGAGGAAATTCAAAAGGAATTTCGGTTTTGCCACTGGGGAACTTCCCCGGCTTCACCATCTCGATGGTGCTGTTGATAATCTGGATCGGCTGCAAAGAGAAGCCACTCAGTCCACCATCTCTGAGTCCCATCCCCGGAGGGACAGGGCCCGGCCCCGGCCTGTGACGTGAAACTCTAAGAGCTAAGGTAGAAAAATGGGCCGGCCCTGAATGGGAATGCGGTTAACAAGCCCCTCTTACCTCTTCCCTGCTTAAATTTGAAAGTTACTATGTCCTTCAGGAAAAGGAAACTATAAATACAGAAAAAGAGTTCCCATTCTGGAATTCGGAGTCCACCGTAAATACTCTTCCAGCACGTCATACCCAGCAGCAGCCGTGCACAGGGAAAGTGACAGTCCCGCTGGAGGAGGGGGAGGGCAGGACCACCGCATCCCTCTGAGGAGCGTGGCCTTGGTCATGGCCGGCTCAGCCTGACCGCTCTCCTGCTCCTTTCCAAGCAAGCCACGTCCAATCAAGGATCTATTCAGAATCAGCGGACGTATTTTCCAGCTTGGTTAGTAAATATTAAAAGTGTGACTATCACTGCACCATTTGCAAAATACCGACAGACAAGTAAAAACCACCACAAACATGAGTACTGAATCGATGACTGCAGCAGGCATTCCTACCTTCACGGAGTTGTAGAAAGCTTCGAACACTCCCACGCTCTTGGCACTGAGCTGGAGGTTCACGGTGCCTTCCACGGTCAGGGAGAGGCCCTGGTGCTGCACGGGGTCCTTCCCGCTGATGACCACCACGCCCGAGAGCATCTCCTAGGAGAGGAGGCAGCCCCGTCAGAGGAGGTCCCTTTGGCACCTTGTTCACCAGCAAAAGCCAGCCTCTGTCACCAGCAATTTGTTCAAAGATGCAGACACTGACCGAGCACTTATTACAGATCAGACACCAGGAGGCCAGGAGAGAAGGAAGGGCCCCGGGTACGGGCCCGGGTCCAGGTGAGGTGGGGTGGGTACTGATAATTACAGGGCAGCCTGGGCACCCAATCTCATCCCCTCTCAGCCTTCCGGAAACATCTTCATTTCCAGCTGGGAGAGTCCCAACAAAGGTCTGAATTCAACAGGGCAGAGAAGGGCCTGGGGCCAGTGGCAGAGTC